GGGGGGGGGGGGGGGGGGGGGTTTGGGTGCATGATGGCAATATTTGTTCATAAAGAGCCCACTCCATACCTCTCATGCTGCAAAAATAACCAAACCACAGATGAAATGTCTCTTTTCTGTTGTTTGTTTTTCTATGTTCTTAGTAGCCGTAGGTGATTTCTAAGACATCAAATAGGATTAGTAGTCTACACAAGCAAGAATGCAATAAGCAATAACAATCACACCCCATTCAATCATTAATCAATCCACTGTCCAAGAGTAGCCAATAAGACAACAGTATAGAGCAACAGAATGCATATTAATGCTAGTTCGAACATAAGCAAGCTATTAGAAACTTAAATAAATAAAATTCCAAGAAAGTTAACTGACTGCTGCTTGCTGGCACTTTTACCTGGATTGGTCCTTCTATTTCGAGGCCTGTTAGAATCAAAATTTCCATCTGCAAAGGCACCCTCTTTCGCATGACCTTCCAATGATGCTCTGACAAGCTGATTTTTCCTCCTCTTGTAGTAACTATCAGATGATGATGCTCGGGCAGTCTTGTCTACACCCAAAATAGATGGATCTTCAGAATCAGAAGCTGCAACCAATTGATATGATCTCCGCTTCACATATGTTACCTTCTTCCTCGAATTCCCTTCATCAAGTGGGCTCTGGCTATCTGAGTTATTGCCAGAACCAGTTCGGCAATCAGGAACTGCAAAAGATTTTATAATTTCCGCCAATGGATCCGAGGTTGTAGAAAGGCCAAGAGGATTTGCCACTGGCAATGACCTAGATTCTCCCAAGTTAAGAGCAGTGCAGTTCAATGATTCCCCACTAAATAAGGAAGATGTTTCAGGCCTTTCAGGAGTCTTTACTCCTGTTCTACAAAGACTTGGAGGGTCAATAGCATCAATCTTGTTCTCAGATGCTTGGTTCATCAAATTATCTTCACTTGAAGGACTCAGTCGATGAACTGAAAAATTCGAAGCATTAAATCCATGTGAAATATCAGATGGAGAAGGCTTCCTGACAAGGCTATTACCCTTACGAATATACGAACTCGGAACATTTTCCCCTGTCTTGTGCACTTGACTCTGAGGAAGAGGACGGGATTGTAACCTTGGTTTTGGGACCACAACGGAGGAGTTACCAGTTCGATGCCATGTTCTTGATTTTGTAACATGGGCTGAAGGGATTGCACTCTTTGTAGTGTTATAACTTAAGGCAGGATGACCAGGAAAAACCCTAGGGACAGCAGAAGTAGGCTGGTTCTTACACAAGTTTGATATCCCAAGCATAAAATTTGAATTCTGCTTTACTTTAGTGTTTTTCTGAGGTAAAGAAGGTGATGTCTGAGGATTGGTTCCTAAATTATCTGATAAAGATGCCTTCTTTGGAGATGTTCTGAGCAAAACTGATGCAGGATAAGCAGCAGATGCAACACTCTCTAAAGATGTATCTTTCCTGCACACGTTTTCATCTGTTAATTGGATGGTTGATGCATGGGAATTTTTTAACAAACATGAGTCTGGGTTCGAAAGCAAATCTTCAGTATAATTTACACCAGATGGCATATCCTGGCCAGAGTCCATTAATTCTTCCCCAGAGCTGGTCAC